GGTGTAGGTGTAGGTGTAGGTGTAGGTGTAGGCATCCGGGTGCGCTGCCAGGCGCGCCCGCCCCCTGCTCACCAGCCCGCTCGCAGCTTCTCAGCTGGTGCCATGAGTAACTGCAGCGCTCCCCTGCACTTCTTTACAACAACTGCTATCACACGTGGGAATGAGGCCTGGCAGGAAAGCGAGGCTGCAGGTGGCAGGCGCAGAGGATAGCAGCAGGGAGGAGAAAAAAAGCCGAGCAACTCCATTCTCCCTCCCCCACGTCACATGGGGAGTGAGGAGCCCGGGAGTCCCGGCCTAATGCATTCTCCAGAAGGTGGCAGATAGCACAGAACCTGCAATTATGCAGCTCAAGTTCTTGCTGCTTCCTGAAAGGCCCTCTTGGCCATAAAAGGCCCATGACTGCACCCTTCCTGAAAGACCATCTTTCCCCAAACCTGAACACAGGCAAACTTGAGGAGCCGGTGAGAAAGCCTAAGCAGGGGACTGTCCCGGAAGCCAAACAAGGAAAAGTGAAATCGCGAGCAGGGGAGATAGGGCCAGCAGGGAAAGTATGACTAACAGGAAATCCCTGAAAAGGAATTAAGATGAGCAGAACAGGCCAGGAGAGTGTGACACTCTGAGACAGCCACACAGAACGGCATCGAGGATGGAGCAGCCCCGCCCCCATGCCAAAGCACCCGATGGAAGGCGATAAGGCATTCTCCTGAGCAAAGCTCTAGAGCCAATTCTCCAGAAATGTCTGTGACCTGAAAACGGCTCATTCTCAGAAGACAATTAGCTCCTCTGACCTGCCCTGACCTATGCAGCACTGAGTAAGTTCCCTCCCTGACAGGGCACACCTGAGTCACCCCAAGCAGCGCAGTCAGGCAGGCAACAGTAAAGGTCCCAAGGGAGGGTCCATTTAAAGCAGCCCAGTCACCGCAGCCATTCCAGCGGGGCAGGCCCGGCAAGGGGTCAGCTGCGCCAGGACTCCAGCCTGGGAGTCCGCGTGGGCTCCTGGGGAGGGAGGTGAGGCCAGGGGGAGGGGCAACCCCAGGAAACTCACCTCCATCTTGGAGACAAGCAGCAGCTGCTGTTTGATGCGCAGAAAGACGGAATCAAAAGCCAACTGGTGGGCCTGCTGGTTCAGGCGCGTCAAAGCCGTGCGAGAGGCGGACAGCAGGTTGTGGTTACTTGACCCTTTTTCCTAAGACAAGAAAATGCAAGAGGTAGTTTGCTAGGCCTCAAATCCAGCCGAGGCGTTTGCTAAATAGTCTGAAAAGCAGAGAAAAAGGGGGGAGTATTTCCCAGACAGTGGGTATCCCCATACTGGCTGTGCCCCGGCCCCCTGGGAGTATGCCGAATGGCAGGTGTTCGGGTTCCACCAGCAGGCGGTCACTTTCCCAGGGGACCGGGGTGCATCTACGCTAACACAGCTCATGGAATGACAGTTCAGGGAACATTAAGCTGGACCCCCCCATAAAGACAGCGGCGGGGTGAGCATTAGTGCTATGAGAAGCCGGAGCGACTGGCAAGGCTCTGGTTCCCAGCGAAGTCAGGTCAACTGCACTCGGCCAGAGGCCAAGCAGCACAACCTGTGTGAGTACCAAGGAATTCCAAACAGCCTGAGAAAAACACAGAGATGGAAATGTAACCCCAGTTTTGCTATTATAACTGAACCGATTACAACAAGCAGACATAAATCAGATTAGCAATAAAGATAAACGGAGTTGCCTTAACCTAATCACAGAAGCATGGATGAATGAACTTGCAGAACTGCTTAACGAAGTGTTTGTCAAGTTCAAATGCAGCCCGTTGGTGGGTCAAAGTGCAGAGAGATGGGGGAGACTCTGCGAGGCCAACAGAGGCCTCAGACATGTCCAGGGGTCACTGTGCCATCACCCCCAGAACTCACAGCCCACCAGGAAAATGTTAAATGGCCTTCAGCGCCAGGGGAGCAGTCTGTCTCCTCTGCCTGTCACCAAGAGTGGGGTTCAAACCAGCTCAGAGAGGATGGGGAGGTTCTGGAAAGGACGTCCCTGGCTCTCATGGGGACCCTTCCTCAGGCCTGGCGGCTCATTCCCTTGGTTGGAAGGTTCTGTCCTTGGATCGCCAGGCATCCAAGCTCAGAGCTTTACAGTCAGCAAACTAGGACCTTAAACTGAGAGACGAGATGGGCGCGAACACGCATCCCCAAGCCCTCATGGCGTGTGAGCAAACTGGCACTAGAGGGTTCCTAGCATTGGTCCACCCTCCCTCTCTCCTTAGGGAAGAGCAGTGACTTCCCTGGGGCTGGGCCAGGTCCTCCTCCACGGCTCTGAGTGCCCGCAGGGAGTACACGGTCTGGCCCCCTCCCTACCATTCGGCAACAGGAAGTGTCCCCACTTGGGGGCCAGGGCCACCCAGCCCTGCCTGTCCCATTGACAAGCTGAGCTCTGCCTGGAGGAGGCACAGCAAGCCCGTCTGATCGCAGCTGCAGCCTGTCCCCAGTCTGCTTTCACGAGGAATAAAGCGAAAGTTACATGGTCCTGCATTCACATGTCAGTTGGTTCCAGCCCAGTTTGGTCTCTCAGCTCCTTACAGCCTCAGAGAAGTGGCAGCAGGGGACGCCATGGCTCAGGCCTCACACTGAGCCAGAGACCCGGATCGGGGAAAGGGTGAGTGTCGGTCCAAACCTCTGGGCTGCCAGAATGTCATCAGTCCAGTGTCATACCTTGAGGGTATAAAGTATCTCCATTAAGCTGGCATATTCAGCAGGGTTGTCTTTCTGGAGGTAATTATACTCCTGCCACGGGTTCCTGGCAGAGCTCTTCTTGTCCGTCAGGATGCTGTCCTGAAAGCCGCTCAGGCTCCGGGGGCCGTAGGAGTCGGAGAGGTACTTCCCGGCTGTGGACAGGATCCTGCAATGACAGCCAGCCCGTCACGCCCAGTCTTCGTGGGGCGCTCGCTCTCCCTGGGGGCGCCCCACGGCAGCTGCAGGAGGCAGACTGATTCAAGGCCCATTACAGCACACGGAGACACCCCCCAGCCCAGGAGTGAGCTGGGGCTCAGGTGCCCGTAGGCCGTGGGGGCCGTCCCCCTTTAACGCTCTCCCCCAGAACTGTCGCCTAATGGATACAGCCCGCACGGGACAGTCGTCGCTTCACGCTTCACTCAGCCTGCACTGTCCACGAGGACCCAGAGGCAGCCCCGCTCGGCAGCATCCCTGCAACACATGTAGGGTCTCAGCTGGGGAAGCTGGTATCAGTCTGCCGCCCAGGTCAAGGAAAGACAGATACGTCATCCTTCAGTTTCGTGTTTTCAGTGTTAAAGGTTGTAGGCAAAAGTGTCAAGACGAATGAACGCCAGCCCCAGTCAACACTGCCTCTTTCCCAGCCCCTCAGCCAGCCCTCACCGCACGCTGGGCCCGTTATTTGCTGGTGCTGTGAACGAAACCTGACGAAACGTGCACTTGATTTCTTCACTCATCAGGGAAACATTCTCATCCTGGCCATGCGCTATAGGGTGATCATACACCTGGCCCTCAAGAAGCCCGGAACGGAATGGGGCCTCGATCCGTGCTAAAGTGCTAACAGCTGTGCCGGAAGAAGGGGGCGCGTGCCAGTCGCAGGAGGATGGCACTTCCACCCAGGCCGTGTCCTCAGTTCCTTTCAGAAAGAGCTGCTAACCGCCCCTAGTCATCCAAGTCATCCATTTACCCTGGATCCCAGAATCCGACCACCCCACCAAACTGCCCAATAAGACCGTGTCCTGGGAAAACACCGGTGTTCCAGAAATGAACAGCGGGCACCGCTAAAGTACAGAGGAACCAGGAGAAGGCCTGCGGGGACCCCCACGCAGCCCGTAAGTCACAGTTCCCCCTCTGCAAGGAGGCGATCTTGAGAGTCCAACAGCCCCGCCACTCTTCCCCTGAAGCGCTCAGGAATGCTGCAGCCACCAACCGCCTCCGCTACCAGGGAGGAGCCGGGCTCCCGTGAGGCTGACTGGAGATAAGATAAGCTTATAGGTGGCACACACCAGCCTCCCTGGTGGAAACAGGTGGCGGCTGTCCCTCTTTTCCTGTCCTAGGTTCAGAGCTCCAGGATGACCCTGTCTCCTAAAGAGGCTCCTCTGGCTACACTGAGGCTGCTCTCACCACACTCCACAGCTGGGGTCGGCCTCCCGGCCCCCTCTGAGTGGCAAGATACCCACCCTTGACCCATCATTCACCTGCCTAAGCAGATCCTCCCTTGAGCTGCAAATGCAATTCCACCTTCATTAAAAGGTTAAGGAAAACCTGGATGTCCAAGATGGAAAGATGCAGAGAAACTCAAATCCAAGGACAGACACTCACCCGTGCTGAGAAAGGACAGTGTGGGCTGAGGCTCTGCCCGACCCCGCTGGTGTTCAGGGGCAGATCCCCGCCCCTCAGCTGGATCAACTAGCTCCCCAAATACTTTCTTTTACTTGAAAAGTTTCTACCCTCAGTATCTCCTCATCTGTAGGAAAGGGAATAAGAATAGACCCGCTAGCTCTTTGGCAGCTGGGGGTGGTTACAGCGTTAACGCATGAACGCTGCTAAGGTCCGAGCTCAGTAAATGGCGTCCAGGTGGGACCGGGGGACTGTTCACCATGTTTCTTCTGGAGAAAGCATTTTCAGGTAAGATTTTTCAGTTTTTGTCTCAAATGCTAGTTAACTGTTTTAATTTCTTCAATGAGCTGGGGCCAGTCTATAACTACTACTATAATTAAGGAAAAAGAATATGCTACATATTGTTAACATGTAGCTATATATTATTATATGCTACATATATAATATGCTACATATTATTTTCTTTTAAATAGGTAAATGTTCCATTTCACCTCTTCTGAGGGGCCCTCTGTGCCCCCAGATCCACTCACTGCTCCCTGGGATGCCCCTCACGCTGCGTGTGCACCGAGCACACTGACGGGGCAGGTGCTGTGCTTCCATCGTGCACACCTGTGGGGCTGGGTTTTCCTGAAGAAGCCACATTGTTCATGCCAGGCTGGTCCGGAGTTAGGAACGCCAGGGCTGCCCCCATTCTACCCACTGCAAGACTTTCCCCAGGAGAACCACAGAGAAATGCCATGACGATCCAGGGTTCAGAAGGAAGGAACCAACAAGCACCTGGGGAGCCAGGGTGTCCCCCTACTGGGCAGCTCATTCTCACCACCTGCTCCCCCAACTTCACATCGTACCACCACCAGAAAGTCCCTCCCACGGATTTCTCTAGGACAGTAAGGAATTTTCCAAGAAAGGGTTGAAGGAGCTTCTCCTACGTCAACTCACACAACTTAATGTGAGGCAGATTCCTCCACCCCCAGTTGCTCAAATAGAGAACTCAGCCCTACCCTGGAGTTGAGAGCTTCGGCTGAAAGGAAGAGGGAAATGTGGCAGGCTGGGGTCTTCTGAGGGGCAAACAGCCTGAATCGGTCACTCAGGACACAGGCGCCCTGGCAGAATGGAACGGGGCAGAAGGGACTTTCCCAAGAGCTGACCCCCAAAATCTCTGGACCTGCCTGTTCAGAGCACAGACTTCTGCAGAACCCGAAGGAGGCTGGCTGGGATCGTTTCAGTGCGGTGGGCCAGCCCCCGGGGACTTAGCCGCTTCTCGTTTCCCTGTGGAGATTCATTTTGAGTTCCAATAACTGGCTGACAAACAAGCAGACAGAACCCAGCCCGCTCATAATTTGGAGACGACATGTACCATTTCTTCATGGAGGCTGAAACATCCTCGTCCAACCAAAATGACGTGCCCACAGCCAAGTAGGCCAGACTTGCGCCCATTTTAGGTGCTCAGTAAATAAAAATGATGACAATGACGACACTGTGCATCTAGGCACAGACAGTCCTTAAGCTTGGTGGCTCTCAGAGGGTCCATACGTTTGCTGTCCTGTGTGCCGAGTCCAAAGTCCTCCCCCAACCTGGAACCAGAGACTCTGGGCAGCCCCCTCCTACCTGTTTGCCAGCTGCTGCTCGAAGTCTCCACAGTGCCTCAAGAGCTCTCCACAGGTGGCTATTATCCTAAACAAAACGAAAAGCACTTCAACGTTCAAGTATCTGGAATGCCACCTTTACAGGACAAACATTGTCTCATTCATAAAAATTCTAACTATTCATTCCTTTTGGAAGTGAACTGGGAAAGCAATTAACCATTTGATTGCCTCGTTGAAGTGTTTTATTAATTAGCAGTTACTGTCTGTGGTAAATGCAGCGTGGGTCAGCTCCCCGTCTGGGGGCTGAACTCCTGCTGCAGTGGCTGCTGATGTCTTCCTAGGGCTGAGACTTAACCCCCTGCACAACCAGGGAGGCCCCTCTAAAATCCTTTAATAGCCAATGAGTCATAATTCTCTCCAGTACACTATCAAATAGCTTTACATTTCTAAAATACCGAGATGCTTTGGGCTTTGTCCTTGAGAAAACAAATTAGAAATACTTCGTATCCAAAATTTAAAAACCAAAGTTCACTATTTAGTATTTGTAGGATGCCTGTTATTTTGCAAGTATGGGAGAGAAACTTGTTTTGACGCTAGAGGCATCTCTCTCTGATTGCCTGAAAGGCAGATAGATGAAGATTAAGCCACGTGTTTCTCAGAGATAAGCCCCAGTAATCAGCATATCTGTATTTAGTAATCCTTTAATTTTCAAGCAATTTTATGCTAGGCCTCAAACTCCAACTACGGAGTCCTTCAACACCAAATTCTAATGTCAGGACAAACCTAAGGATTAAAAAACATCTTAAGCCTGGTTAAATTTTAACTCTCTTTAAGAGTGCCAGGCCGCAGTGGGGGGCGTTCCTCCATTGGGGGAGAGGGGGGCCTGCCTCAGGGGCAGCACAGCCACCAGCTCACTACGTCCCTTGTCCCCATAGGCGACAGGGGGCAGAGTCAGCATCTAGAACATTACATTTCATCAAAGGAAGTAAAAGCCCAGGTCTGGGCCCCTGGGGAGGGTGTCAGGGGCCGTCCTGGATGTCCCAGATTAAAGATGCCTGGGGATGGCCGGGATGCGCTCTGGCCCGGGCACCCACCCACAATGAGTGCGTCACAGGCATCCAGCACAGGCAACCTTGGCTGGGGTCAGGCCGGACTGTAAGTGGATTTTCAGGAAAGAAATTTCTAGATTATTTTCATCCCTGATAGCACAGATGCCAGACCACATGCGCACAGAAAGAGCGCACACCCAGTATGGGGGACTCCAGCCAGCACCCCCGACGGGCCACGGCCTTGGGCAATGTGGGCCCAGCTTTCAGAGCTTCCAATTTTAAGGTGAAGTTAGAAATATGAATTACATTAAATCTGGTTTTTAGATGTTGATAACGAATCCAAAGTTTGTCTACATGCCATAATCAAACATGCCCACGGGTCAGAACTGGCTTCTTTCTGGCTGGACACACTGTGAGGCCAAACTTCCCAGGCCATGGCCCATCACACTCTCCCCTCAGGGCTTGGGGCCACAGGTGTCTGCCTCGGGCTCACAGGTCACCCTGGACCTGGGCATCAAAGCCGCGTGGGAGGGTCACCTCCACACCTTTCACCAGGACTCCTACGCTGCCCTTTCTAGGCCACAGGGTGTGGCTTCCCCATTTCACACTCTGAGATCCAGAAACAGGACCCAGCCAGCCACGCATTTTCTCAAACATAAGCGCTATGTTATTTCACATCTGCAGAAAGCACGGGCTGGGGGTGGGGACTGCAAACTAAATATAAAACGTAGTGCCCAGAGGAGATGAGGAGTTCAACAGGGCCTTGAAAATACTGTGAGAGCAAGGGGGGGCCACCCCCGCTCTCGTATGGTGGGTTGGGCTTTGTCTATTCACTGTTTTCAGAGGCTAGAGTCTGTGCTTTAAAAAAGAAAAGGCAGCAAACGAGAACGAGAATCAGCCCCTCACACGCACAGCCATCATTTCCATAGACCATATTCTACATGGTTGTTTCCTACATTAGGAATGGGCTTAGGTTACAGCCCCCACTTTACCTGATGGAGTTCTGAAAAGCTGTCCAGTCTTCTTGGAAGAGGGAGTCGGGAGGAATCTCATCCAGCTTGCACTTCTTCCGTATTGACTGGAGCGTGCTGGTGAAGTCAGACACGTACCTGGGGAAGAGGGCAGCAGCAGCGTCAGACCCCGGGGCCCTCACCCCCTGGGGTTAGACAGCCTTGACAAACTGCTCAGGGCCCGGAACGTGTGTGTGCAGGCACCCAGCTATCCAGTGTAGCACAAAATGGTCTGCTCTGTGTGGCAAGCCCACCACGCCCAGCGGTGGAGCAGCTGCTTGAGGAGGAGGGAGAGAGCCACTGAGACCAAGATCCAGGTGACCCAACAGTGGCGCAGGCAAACCGCTCCCTCATCCTACTGGGCATTTCTTTGGAAGCTGTTTGGCAGAACAGTTAGAAACATCACGTCCCACTATCGCATCTGACTGTCACCTGGGACCCTGTCCTGAGTCCTTTTGCAGCATTTACATTACCGCCAAACTGCCTGCAGGCAAGGTCCTGACTGACCTCAAGCAAGAGGAGCTCGAAACTAAACTGGAGCTGGAGACCCCTGGCATGTGGCCTGCTCCCGCTGCGCAACCGACTTCCTTCCTGGCGCCCGGCACACGTAGGGCTTAATGGCTTATCCGCACACGTGTCCAGCAGGTGCTGCCATTTCTAGACCAGAAGCTCCAGGCGGGCAGGACTGTCCCCAGCTCCTAACTGCGTCCCCAGGAAATCAGCGGCAGGCCGGGCATGAGGGAGACATGTGGAAATGGCTCCTGAATGAAGGGGAGACTGGCCCGCAGCCCGGGGCCTCGGTGTCCAGTCTTTCAAATGGACTTCGTGTGCCTTCTGCACTGCCTCACAGAGCTGTCGTGCTGATGACTAGACACTGGGTTCCCCGAAAAGGACGAAATGAAAGCTGATGGGGTGGGCCTTTCTTAAGGCTGCAGAGTTGGTGGCCATGACCAAACAGCGTGTCCTGGGAGGGGCTTTAACGACACACTTGCACGTCATGGTCCCAAGGTGGCGGCACCATCAGCTCACTTGGGGGAAAGGTGCCAGGAGACAGAGAAGGGTACTGGCCCACCGAGGCCCAAAAGCAAGGGCCAGGCGAGCACCCACGCCCGCTCCCGCCGGCACGCCGAGGTCGCCTGCCCCTAGTGTCCGCCCTCCCCGTCTCGCCCCGCAGTGGCCGCCTGCCAGTGAGCTTCGCCCTGACTCCCCAGTGTCCTGAACATGGGCTGTTCTGGCTGTTTCCTTTTCACAGAATATCCTTACTATAGTAAAATGTTTAAGAGGAATTTGTATTCTTTTTAAAACCAAGTTTTCAAAACAACCACCCAAAGAACAGAAAGTAAAACTATGACGACCAGGCCCTGGGAGGGTCGGGGTGAGAGGGCGGCTCCAGGAACCGTCCTCGCCGGCCTCACCAGTCAGCGGGCAAGAGGCGTCGCTGATGCTGCAGAAGGCGCCTGCCCCCCGCAGGCGGGGCAGGGCAGAGACAGCAGCTAGGTGCTCAAAACTGGCTCCTCTCAGAGAAGCAGGAAGGAAAAGGCCTTTTTTTAATACCGTCTCATATTTTAAAAATTATTTCTAGATAATACTATTTTTGTTATTTTATAGTGTCATTCTTAGATCTCAAATCTTCTTTCCATCCAAAAATCCTTGTTGGTGCCAGAAAAAAAACCCTCTTTTGTTTGCTCGCTTGTTTTTATTTAACTTGTTGCTGAGGCCTCTCTTCCTACAGGAGCACATCCTGCCGGTGACCCGGCATCTGTGGGCAGGCATGGCATCCCTGGGAGCTCCGGGAGGGGCTGCCTGCCCAGGGCAGTGACAGAAGGCACTGGGCCCAAGGACCTCAGAGCTCACGGGGCATGCTCAGTAGTTCTGGAATGACAAGACGCTCTCAACTTATAGCAAAACAGCATTCAGCTCACTAAAAGGAATTTCTTGAGACTTAGAACAACTTCATTCTTGAACAAGAAGGTCTCCCCCTGGA